AACAATCATTTCTCAAATATGTATTACAATATATACTTTTAAATTGTATGAGATGACTGGATTTCCAACTGAACTGCAGCTCAAAACTATTTAAAAAAAAAATAGTGAATTAAGCTACAAACTCGATCATAATGCACAATATTTCCATCTAACATGTATTTTGAGCTGCAGAATGTTTCTCTAATAAGTAGTAAACCGGTTACCTCACCTGAATATGTTCGTAGATTTGTGTTGGTTGATCTCTTTGGAATACAAAAACTGATATTTTATTTGTAAACATCATACTTTTTTTTGCTTATTTCAGTTAATGTCATAAAACTAGCAAGCCAAGCCAGTAGTAGTAGGCTTTGTCATGTAGTAAACATGGCTGAAGACGCAAAAAGCGGAGGAACAAACAAACCGATTCACATTTCTGACTCATTTACGCTGGAGCCGCTCCGATTGATTTAGGGTGTATTCACACCTGCCATTCATTTTCGAATTTTGTCATCGCTTGTAATGATTTTAAAAAGCACATAGTGATGGGTGAAACTGAGCTTTTTCGAAAGTAATTTTAAAAGTAATCCATTACAATAGTGCGTTACTCCATACAAAAGTAACTAATTACGTTACTTAGTTACTTTTTATGGGAAGTAATGCGTTACGCTACTTTTGTGTAACTTTTTAAATCTGGACAGGGCTTGCTTGTTTGTTTTTAAAATAAAAAAGTTATATTTTTGGCAAATATAAAACCATTGCGTCGAAAAATGATTCACTGTTTTCGAAGCGCTCCAATCGAATCATGTTTGGCAAATCATTTGATTTAGATCGGAACTTCGGAGCAGTTTTGTGAATCTTTTTATTCAGATCGGAATTTCAGTGCGGTTCGGTAAACATTTCGCGAATCTAATGATCCGCGTTCCGCGTTCCAAAGTTCTGATCTTGATCAAATGATTCACGGACCCACATCTAAAACGCGATCTAAATCAAATGATTCACGATCAGTGCTCAAGTTCCGATCTGAATCAAATGATTCACTGAACTCCAAACGTTTCAGATCAGGACTTCAAATCCTTTGATTCAGGTCGGGAATTCCGAGCGCGCATCTTTTTTCTGATTTATTTTTTTAATAAACAGTACAAACATCAAACCATTACAACAGCATAGTTAGAAAAACAAAACAATGAAAAAAATTTTTTTTTTAAATACACAAATACAAATCCCTTAATTAAATTAACCATTGTTTTATTATAGTAAAAGTGTAATAACCATGTTTTTTAAGCACAGATTTACTACAAATGGTTCAACTGTGGCTAGTGTAATAAAACCATGTATCATGTAGCAAAACCATGGTTAATCTGTGGTTATGGACTATAGTAACCATGCTTTTTTTTTTTTTTACCTTAAGAGGACACATAAAGATGCGGTTTTCACTGCTTTAGGATGTACAGAACTTTGAATAGTTTCCATGTAGCCTAATTGTCTAGATAATCTTTGAGCAGCCTATAAAAAAGGTTCAGAGACAGATTTTTGTCTATGCATGTGAAATTTAGCTAGCAGGAAACACAAATTAATGAAGTTATAATTTCCTATATTCTCTTTTGAGTAGTCGAACAATCCAAAGAAACCATCTTTAAAACACAGCGAAAATCAAACATGCGCCCTTGTAAATTATGATATCTGCTGATTCATAAAGTGCTTTGTGTTTCTGATTAATTTGGTTAAACAGTAATAAAACAACCTATAATTAAATACAGTATAAACAGCTACTTTTAGTGATGATGGGAGAAACAACTGATTTGCAAAATGATTCACTCAAAACTCGACACCTGCTGGTCGAAAAATCAGTCCAAATATGAATAAAACACGCTTTTTAGAAACCAGTCGTAAATGTTTTCTTGAAAATGCCTTCTACAAATCATAAAATACCATTAAACTTGAAGTGTCTGTATAATATGTTTCATTATTTTAGAGCTGTGTTTACAGAAGGTTTAGCTAATCATGCCAATAAGAATCAATCAACTAATACTCTTTGTTTTTTATTATACAAGTGTACCATTAAAATGTCTACATTATAAAAACGGATCCGAGTTCAGTGCGAATTCAAATTAAATTTAGAAGCGTTTTGAAACATTTATGACGCCACAAAGCGTCCTTTATTGAAATCACGCGACTTTGGCAATTGGTTGAAACGAAAGATTCACAAAGGTTTCGAATCTTCCAAAGCGCTCATTAGATATGCATATGTTATGGCAGATGGCATCATATATTTGTGACAACATGCCCCGCTTTGTGTGTTAATGAAATGTTCAATAGTTTTTAACCACATCTTTATCACTGAAAATGCGATCTACAAATCATCTAATACCATGAACATGTACTGCCTAATGTAGCCAGCCTATGTTTTGTTACTATTTTTAGGATTTGATTTGTGCGAACAGCTGGTCTTCTTTTTTTTATTACATTTACATTTATTACATTAAAGCCTCTAAATTATAAATCTGACCCGATCAGTGGGAACAACGGACATTTCGAAACGTTACGATGCTTCGTTTAATGATATGCACGGGATTTGAGGAATAATTGATTCAGAACAAAAGACTCACAAAGGTTTACTGCTTCTGCTTCTCACCTAGCAGGTTCAGTCTGGTGATTATAAGGAGGAAGCTTAAGAAAAAAAGCGATACACGTGTCAGTTTAAACGCAAGGTCAGTCTCAGGTCAGAGATGTCAGTGTGTTTTGTCCACTCATCATCATGAAGCTCCTGTTGTTGGATGCTGGTTCACCACAGTAAGAAATCCAGGACAGGCCCATAGAGGCCCTTCCTTCACCCTGAAGACCCCATCATCACCTTGCTTTTAGTGTAGTATGACCTTTTATTGAACCTTGCAGGTCATTTTCATGTGCTCTTGTGTGTGTGTGTGTGTGTGTGTGTGTGTGTGTGTGTGCTTGTGAGGTTTGGCATTAAATGTTTTGGCAAACAGTTTCAAAAGAAGCCTTGAGGCCATGCTACAAGCCACGCAGCGCTTGTATGGACGTAAACAAACATGTACATACGTGTGTGTGTGTGTGCTTGTCTGTGGTTGGGGGGTTCTTCATGTAAGTAAACAATGTCGGTCATAACTCTCTGAAACGATTAACGGTCACTGCAAATTACTCATTTTGGCACGACTGACCTATTTGTGTGTATGACCTCAAATGATAATGAATGTTTTAAAATTATTTTGTAAAGTCCATTTGCATTGCAGTACTTGAAAAAATATATAAGTTTTTACATTTTTATTTTTTTGTCATACTTCTTCAAAACATGTTCCTGCTACTTGATTGTTAAAAATAATACAAACACACACACTCACACACACACACACACACACACACAGGTTTGTTTTTATGGTTTATGGGGACTCTCCATAGGCATAATGGTTTTTATACTGTACAAACCGTATTTTCTATTGCCCTACACCAATCCTACCCCTAAACCTACCCCTTACAGGAAACTTTGTGCTATTTCAGATTTTCAATACAATCCATTCTGTGTGATTTATAAGCGTTTTGAAAAGTGGGGACATGGGCACACACACACACACACATTATGTATATATAGCCATGTAACTCATCATATAATTATTTAACCTATTACAGGATGGATTCGATTAAATTTGATGTGTAAAAAGCGCTTGAAAAACAGACCAATTTATACGAGACAGGAGAATGAAAACAAGCTCGTATAGCAACTATTGTGTTTTCTTACTCGTAACATTTCTTTATTTTTCTTAGCATTTTCTGTGTTTATTGGAAAGGAAAGGCTTTGATAAATAAAAAGCAAGAAAAATACAATCTTGAAAGGTGTAAAACAGCTCGGCAACTAGCTGGAAATCATTTAGTCTCTTAGTGATGCTTTAATTATGTTGAAAATATCAGAAATCAAAATAAACTATAATTTGATAAAACAATATTACTGAAACATCCCGTCGTTTTTATAATAATAATTCATTATAAATAACAAGACAATGAATTTACGTGAATATTCGTGAGCTGTTTATAACTCGATAAAGCTTGATTATTAAGGTGTCAATTGAAAAGTGGGCAGTAAGTAGCTACTTATAGCTATAAAACCACAACATGATTTATTGTTTGGGCTGCAAACTTTGTTTTCATAAATTGTTTTCATAAATTCAACAAATATATATTTTTCATTAATTATAAAATTACTACGGTAATGGGAGAACGTCTGTCGCAATGATAATATTCAATATTTATAAAATAAAAATGTATGTACACATATAAAAAAAACGAATTATTTTAACATGAACGGTTGTTGTTGAATAAAAATACATTTAAAATGGTATTATTTTGCTTTGCATATTTCAGCTATTTCACAATATCTTAAAAACGGATTCATTATTTATTTTATCCTTTTGTTTTATACACATTCGATGTTTCTTTAATAATATAAAATAAAGTGTTGTATTGGTGTGGACATCCCTAAAATACACAGTGTATGCATTAAATCAAATCATTTCACAGTCGGCAATGCTGCAACAGCAACAGATGCAAACAGCCTTCAAACAAGAAAACGACAATAAAATATTGTTTCTTGGTTCCGAAATCATACATTTATTTAACAAAGATATTTATGATATTTAACAAAGATATTCATTTATTCTCAAATAATAAAGTGTGAATTGGGGGGAAAAACCTTTATTTCAGAATGCAAAATGCGTCATTTAAAAATAAAAAAGCTATTATAGATTAAACGCATAATTAAGATTATTCTGATGCAACTTGAGCAAAATTCATACTAACTGATCGATAAAAATATACAAGTAAACAACAGTGCGACTAGACTGTTATGATGTTCACCGGTCACTTCCCACCGCGCAAACATGCTGTTTGAGATGACTGAACGCAGCGCACTGGAATCACACTGCTTTATATATTTCAATGACTAAAAACGACATAAATTAGACCTTCAAAGTGTCAACATAACTTCTGCACTCCTCTAACAGGAACTCAGTGGATGTGTGACCCGCGCTAACACTAGAGGCGCCCTTGGCTCAGCCTGTGCGCTTTTACGCACAGCATTATTATTCATTATTATTCTTGGAAAGCCTACTAATCAATAGATCCGCACTGGTTGTAATACACAACACTGTATCGGATCAGACAGGATATTATGCACGCTTTAGGGCCCTGTTATTTAACACAACTAATCCGAATCCCCTCGAAGTATTATTAAGACACTTTGAGAGTGCCACTTTGATTCAACATCACGAATGCTTTAGTTCTGGATCATTTAAACTTTATTTCAGTGCGTTTCAGGTAATGTGTGCACAATTATTCGTCCCTCCTATTCAGGCTGCGTGATCGGTGACGCACAGGAGACTCTCCAGACTCCAGCGCGCACGGGGCTCTCCGCGCATTATGATGGAGTGAGCCGAGACTGTACTGTCCAGCTTCCAGCAAGAGAAGAGCTCCTCCTCCCTCCCCTGAGATGAGGTAGTTGGTAAGACCGAGCGCTGGTTAATCACCAATTTCTCGCATCGCGTCGCGTCCTCCGTCTTGAAAGTCCTGTCATGCATGCAGCGTCCCCGCCGTTGCGCGCCTGACCTCCTGCGTTTTCAACCACGGCTTTTGTGTGTCCATCGCCCGGTATGGGAGATCAGAGTGAGCCGACCATGGTGCAGAAGTCGACATCGTTCAGCATCAAGAGCCTGTTACTCCCATCGAAGTTTGACAATGAGGGCGCGGTGCGCAGCGGCAGCCCGGCGGCACCGGACTTGGACAAACCCCTGGAAGCGTCCGAGATGGACTCCGCGCAGCGAAACGCGGAGGAACAGCCGTCTAAAAAGGGACAGAAATTCGACAAGCCTCCGTTCAGCTACAACGCGCTCATCATGATGGCCATCAGACAGAGTCCCGAGAAGCGGCTCACGCTCAACGGCATCTACGAGTTCATCATGAAGAACTTTCCGTATTACCGGGAGCACAAGCAGGGCTGGCAGAACTCCATCCGGCACAATCTGAGCCTCAATAAGTGTTTCGTGAAGGTCCCGCGGCATTATGACGATCCTGGGAAAGGGAACTACTGGATGTTGGATCCCTCCAGCGATGATGTGTTTATCGGCGGAACCACCGGGAAGCTCCGCCGGCGCTCGGCGACCTCGCGGGGAAAGTTGGTGATGAAAAGGGGCCTCCGCTTCGCGCCCCTCGGTCTCGGACTTGGCGAACGCCCGAGCAACCCGCTTTATTGGCAGCTGTCTCCGTTTTTACCCCTGCACCATTCGCACTATAACGGCTCCACGCACGGATTTCTAAACCAGGGACACGCGTACGGATCGTTACTCCCCGGCATGGAGCCGCTCGGGAACGGGGACATGTCTCGCCACATTCTGGGAGCCTCTAGCGGGAGTATCAACGGGTACGGCGTGTCTTCGCCGTCCGCCGCCGGATTACTTTCAGGGCACAATGGATACTTCGTACCGGGCGCGCAGCAGCCGCAGCCGCTTCCGAGCGCGCCGGGATACGGCATCTCCAGCTCTCCGTCCCCGCTGCTGTCGGATTCCCTAAGAACTAGCTTATCGTCCTTCACAGCACCACTTTCTAGCGGACTTCTGTCTCAACACAAACGCGTCGCGCCCAATTCGTTCCTAAGCTGAGCGTTGCGCGCCCTCTCCACTGGGAACATCCAAACTTTCCTAGAAAACCTCGAAATGTGCAAGCTGTCCTTTTGTGTGAGGACTGTGCGTCTGGAATTGTTTTTTTTTTTTTGTCTATTTAAGTTTATTTTGTAGAAGTAGTGTGATGTTATGCCAAAGGCAATAACAGTGCGTGTTTGTTTTTCTTTCTTTTTTTCTAAAAAAAAAAAAAAAAAAGTGTTATTTATAGTACTTCTTTGTGAATGATGGTTTTGTATTTATTCGAAATGTTTTTTATCCCTTGTTACTGTGGGATACCGTTATTATTAGATGTTTGGCACATATTATTCGTTTAGTATGACTAATTCCTTTTTTATTTATGTCTCAAACTGTGAATGCGCCTTAATATCTTAAATCAGGGTTGAGCGTTCGGACCGTCTCAGGTGTGCGTTCTGACAATTAAACATTATTATTATTATTATTAGCTGTGTAAACCTGAAATATGGTAACATATACATCTATATGCAATGTTTTATGAATTTGCCTATCGGTTAGTGTGGGCCTGTGTTCAGAGAGGTCATGTAATGACTTACTAGTAAAGCTAAGCTACTGAATTAAAGCACTGGTTTAAATGAACTCTGTGTGGGATCAGTTTATATATGTACATACTGTCACGTAAAATGCTGTTTTGTGACGACACAAGGGTTTTGTTTACACACATAACAGTATTTTAACAGTATTTTATTTACAGTTTTTACGCGTGGAGGTGATTCAGCACCAAAGACAGATCATTAATGCTTCTTTTGAAATATAACACCCCTGCACATTCATTTGCTATTATGACATTCTAAAGCCATTATTTCAACTCTCTGTGCAAATCAGAAATGTGATTTCTAGAGCGGTTTATTTCCCTTTTAACCAACATGTGAGTTATAGTTCTGCACCTTTAGTTGTCATAGTCTTTTAATGTGCAGATTTGTACTAGTTTTTTTTCTTGTATATATGCCTGAACTTCCGTTCAGAACAAAGAAATAAAGTATTGGAATATTTCTGTATGAATACAAACGCGTCCTTTCTAGTCATGCAACACAAATCCGCTTTTTGTGTGAACAAAGACTCACCAGCTCGAGGGATTCAGCTTCACGCACGCAGATTAATCTCAATGCATTTACCTGCATGCTATGCATTTAAGTTATGCATGCTAGAAATGTTAAATATAGCCTACTGCTGGAATATTTTCGTCGTACAACATATAATTTTCATTATTGCGTCACTGACATAGGCCTAGTTCATGCACACACACACACACACACACACACACACACACACACATATATATATATATATATATATATAGCCACCAATTATACTCTGCGTAAAGTCTATACAGCGCCATCGAGTCAATCCAGACAAATGACGAAACCACAATATTCACTTCACGAACTAATGCATTGTTTTCACGTGCACAAATTAATAATAATTATAGCAATACAGTTAAGATATAACTGAGCCTTTACGCAAACATTCAGCGAAATCGGTTCACATGAGTCATTCTGACCCATTTCCAATAGAAATAATGCTAAACTTACTGTCCAGATGTTCCTGAAACTTCAGCTCCACGTGTCCCGGATCAAGCAGAAGTGAAACACTCAGTGAGGCACAGACAATATGAAGTCCAAAAAACTCCAGACGCCTTCAGAGGAGCGGGAGGGACATTAATGTGCTCGGACAGACGTTCAGAGGGAGGGACTCACGGACAAAGATGCTCAATTCACAGCTCTGTTACTTTATAAATCAATTCCTGCACTTTATTTACTGTAGAGACTCGAATATTACGTAATACGTGACCAAAAATAAAGCCACTGCTAGTTCTAAGTTTTGGCGTGTCAAAATAATTTATTTGAATTAAAAGGTAATAGGTTCGTATACGTATTTTGCCATCCACTGACACTTCTTTATATATGATGCTATGTAAATTAGTGTGTAGCCTACAGCAAAAATAACAATAATTTATTTAATAAAAATGTTACAAAACTTGATTCAGAGCCAAATGAGACTTTGATCGCCTACTACAACAACTTTTTCTGTCATTTTAATGACTTATAGCCTATATTTAAGTACTTTATTTGTTGAAAGTTTTACGAATCTTCTGATCTAGAGCTAAATTAGGCTTTGCCAATGATAGCCGATAGGACCAATTTGTCTTTTTACTACGTTTAACTGTTTAAATTACATCAAGGCCATTCGTCCATTCATTAATTTATTTTACATTAACCTGAAGCATTAAGAAGCTAATAGCCTATAACAGCTGACCAAAGGAAGAAACATGTTAACTCATCAATTTTAAAATAAATAAAACATCGAATTATTAACAGGTTTACGTATCTTCTGATTTATATAAAAAATGAGGCTTTGCCAATAGCAAATACGATTTTTTTTTTTACTGTTCAGATTCAAGGCCCGTTTATACGTGTGTGTGTTTATTTATTTTACATTAATCTGAAGTATAAGCAGGCTAATAAATTAAACAGCTGACCATCAAAGGACGTAACATGTTAATTCATTGGTTTCACCTCCTCAAAACAACAAATAAACAAACAGATAAATAAATAAATAAAATACGGCCGTTAAGCACAAAAACAAAACCCTGTTTTATGCATTTAGGTCTTAAATGCAACAGGGCATTGATCTTCAAATACAAACCGTAAAATAGCACAGCAATCAACTCGATCTCATGAAAGTGCGTATAAATAGTACGCCAAATAAAAACGAAAACTCGTGGTATTGATACGCAAAAATGGACTTTGGCGTGTATATGCTACGCGATGGGTAGGTTTAGGGTTGTGGGGTAGATGCGTATCATATGTACGCGAAAACTGCGTATCATATGTACGCCAACATATTTCGTATCATATGCACGCGAAAACTGCGTAGGTATTATATGCACGCCAAACACATGCGTATCATATGCACGCCAAAGTCCATTTTTGCGTATCAATACCACGAGTTTTCGTTTTTATTTGGCGTACTATTTACACGCATTTTCATGAGACCAGGACTATAAATTAAAAAAATAGCATGCAACACATTTTTTTCTTTTAAGCTACAAGAAGATTCAATTAGTTTATGGAGAACCAAAGTAGCCTACTGTAAAATCCTAACCCCA